GTTACAAAAAGAACAAGAACATTGAGCAACAGTGATGAAAAGGAAATGCTGCCATAAAACAATCTGGTTACAACTGAGAAAAGAATGACAAAAATTTTGAAGTCATTTTAGCTTGGCAGAAAATGATCATCTATTTCTTGGTCCTTTTGGTACTGTTAACAGCCTAGAATTGTGCAATATCATATTAGCTCATCAAGAGGTAAAGCAAACATAAAGTGACAGGCAGGAAAACAAAGCTTATTCATGGCAATTTATGTGAAGTTTATGAAATGGAGAAAGGGAGAAGATACCAAAAAACTATTGAAGCTCCAAGCCAAGGTAAACAAAGTATTTCACAGCATAGTAAGAAAATGAAACAAGGCAATATTAAGAAATACATAGAGACAGGTAACAGAGGAGAATTCCCTCTCCAACATACGCAGTGTTCAACATATAGCTATAGGGGAAATGATGGCCTTGAGATAAATGGGCAAATTTCCAGGGATTTTCCCTATTTGTTCAACTAACTGCTTGCAAACAACTCATTCAGTCAAGCTAGGAAGAGCAAGGAGGTGCAGGGGCGGGACGTGCTTGTTAGAACCACTTCAGATGCCTGAGCGGAGAGGCAATCTCCTTTCAGTGACTATGGGAAGCATCAGCCAAATACAACTCAGGAGTTCTGCCGCCAGAGCAGCTCCTGAGCTGCTCTGCAGCTGCGCTCATATCCTTGGAGGCATCAACAACCTTGTCAAAACTTCACCCCAGCATATTGCCATCACAGCCAGTGGGCCTTCTACAGCACTAGCCACACAGACAGGAGCTGCTAAGCAGTCTCAGGGGAGATGTCCACAAGAGGTAGAAAGGCATTTGATGCCTTCATGCCCAGTCTGAACACAGCCTCCTAGGAAGGGAAGGCAGTTCTTGTCTAGCTCTTTGCCTGGACAAGATAATCTCTTACGTTACAAGGACAGAGACAGAGAACTCAACTCTCAAGACTGGTGTCCTTTTTACTGACCCACACAGTCTTTCCAGAATTTTTCAAAACTGCACACTGACTTCAATTAAAACTCAGAAACTTTCCTACTAACAAAGACCTGCAGAACCCCCGCCCTCTTTCAAAAGTGCCAAAGACATGTAAAGAGAGCTCCTGCAGGTAGCTCCTCATTGTGCAGAAACAAAATTAATTTATAAATGACTTTGAATTCCCTTCTGCTGTAAGCAGCCTTCTTCCTACCTAGTGCAGAAATTAAATCAGAAATGGGCTTAAGAAAAGGTCTTCTCAGCTGCAGAAAAATCAAATAAAAATGTTTGGTTATAAGCAAAGTCTTTGCTGTGATAGAAGTTGTTGCTATTGTAAATGTGTTCTGAGAAACACATTCTTGTTGTAAGCTAAATAAGAATTTCTTGTAGAAGCCCGCTGCGATCATATCAGCCTATTTCTGACCAACACCTCCCTCAGGAAGGGCGTTTTCCTCACCATCCTCAAACCTGAGGTGCAGTCAAGCCTTCACTTAAGAGATGACAGAGATCAACTCTTTGCAAGAATCACCTGCTTCCCTCCTTTTGGGGAAGTCTGCAGCAGCAGTGAGCCAGATCCAACAGTATCTGCTGGTCGGTGTGTTGGAGAGCTTCTAGTGTAGGCACGAAGACCCAACTTCTTGTGCTGACAGAAGACTAACATCTAACTGCAAACAGAAGCAAAGCATGTGCACCAGTACTGGCTAATCAAAGTAAGGTCTTCTGAATATTAGCCAGCCATCGTTTCTGATTATCTAGAAGTACTCAGCCAGCATCATATGCTTTCACTCATGTTCCCCATCAAGTCCCAGGGAATCCTAGTGAGCTCTTTACTGAGACTGACGCCTGTGACTGTTTTTATTCAGCATACCT